TTTTAATTTCTCAAATTTTTTTCTTTCAGCCCAATAGCTTATAACTAAAACCAAGATTACTAAATATACAGGATGTGATATAGTGAAAATTATATACTTGAATGAAAAAATAAATATATTTTTCTCTCCGTTAAATTTGCATTAACATTAAAAATATTATGAGCCTTGCATTTTTGTACCTTTGGCGAGCCATTAATGATAAGCCGTAATGCTTATGGTCCGACAATGGCTAACCAGTTCTGGTTCGCCAGCTAAGGCCCTTAACTGGATCACATGTGTTTTGCCGGACCTGGCTCGCCAGCTCTGGCCCATTAATGTACTGCTGATTGGGAAAGAGCTATTCTCGTGTTACCTAATATAGTTTAATCATCATTTAATTAAGTGTTTGAAAAATTATTTTTTGCCTAGTTTTTTTCCTCAAGCATCAGTTCATTGGAATTCGCTTCCTTACTCTAGTTTTCCTGATTCATATAATTTGCAATCTTTTAAGTCGTCTGTTAATTGTTATCTTTCTCTATAAATTTCTTCTTTTCTTTTCTAGTAACTTCCAACTCTAATTGTGGTTGCTTGCAGCCTTGTTGGAAGTGAAGATGTTGAAAAAAAAAATAGTTCTACTTGCATTTTGTAGGTATCTTTATCAACTGTCTAAAGAAATTTGTGTTGGTTTGACATTATTTAAGACACTTTAAATAATGTCAATTTAAATAAAACTTTAATTCATAAGTTCTTTTCAATTATGTCAAAGCGCAACTTTAGTATGTAAAAAATAACTTAAAAAGTTATTTTTATATATTATAACTTAAAAAGTTATTTTTTACATGTTAATATTGTTCTTTCTAATTTATAAACCAATCGAATTTGAAAAATTACTAAAAAAGCTTTAAAGTTAAAAGACGAATTAAGACACAGTATCAGAAACAGTCACACAACTTTATCATGCAATTTCAAAGTCTGTTATTAATTTATAATTTTATAAAAAATAAAAAAAACAATACGATATTAAATACAACAATATATAAAAAATCTTTTACAAAATTTTAAAACTTCAGTGTTTCAAGTTAAAAAATAAAAATAAGCCTGATTGTACATTGAGTCTAACTAAATTGAGATATTATAGATAAAAAGGCAATATACATAATTAGATAAGCACATAAGTTATGCAATTAAATATAATTAGATTAGTTATTAAAAAACTATATTATTACATAAAAATAGAGTTAATTAATAAGAGATAAAATTTATGCAATTATTTAAGAAATAAATTAAAAATTAGAATTATATTGTGCAACATTTTTTTACAAACACAAGAACTTAATGTCTAATTTTTTGGCAAGCATACAAAAGTCTTCAAGTATAATTAACATTTTAGGTATTACTCTCTCACATGTTAGAATACCCAGCAGAACTGTATTAGGTTTTATATAAATGCTTTATGTAACTTTATTTTATTAACTTATTTTATTTTATTGCTTGCATTCTACAAGTTGCAGATTTTTAAAAATATTTTTTTGGTTTATTATTTTTGAAAAGTTTTTGAAAAAAATCTTTTTAAGATCAAGTTAAATTTAGAGAAAAAAGTTCTACGTATAACCAGAAAAAGTATATTCAAAATGATTTTTAAAACTAGATCTGAAAAATATAAAATTCTTAAAAAAATGTTATAGGGACTTAAAAATGTTCCTGTAAATCTTTTTTCTCCATAGTTATCTGTTTTTATATTGTTTGTCTATAATAAAAAAAAACTAGCTTTATTTCACTCAGGTTTTTTTTAAATACTGACTTTATTTACTGTTGATGCTTTTTTTTTTCAGCGTAACTTACTTTCCTAAGGTCGAGAGGGCCACTACAGTTGAGGAAGCTACTTTATTGTAATAACAACCCTCTCTCAAATCTTCAACTCTGAAAAACAAACCTTGACAAACAAGGCTGCTGCGCAGAGAAACAAGTTGAGCGCTGTACTACCAGGGATGTGGTAGGGACCAAACTCGAAACTTCTTGCTTAAGAAGCTAACGCACTACCAATAAACTCCTACCGCATGATATAAAATCAAAAGACTATAAAAGATAAGATGATAAATAGAGAAATTTGGTTTATTATTGTTCCCAGGAAGATACTTTTTTGGTCATTTGGTAATAAACCAAGTTTCCAAAATGCTGTTAAATTTTTTGGGTATCCCAGAATTTAAATAAAAAATCTTAGAACAGTTTTTCTGTTTATAATAGTATTTTTCTGAATTATCAAAAGTTGATTTATAAGATTAAATTAAAAAAATGCCCTCTAATCTTAAAATTTCAAAGGTTTGGAATTGATTTGATTTCAAAAAACCAGGTGAGACAGAATTCAAATATTGTCCAAAACTATTTTTACATTTTTTAAGTTGGTTTCACCATTAATTTGAAAAGACATTTAGAAAAATTTTTTTTTTTCTTTTTTTAATCAGCGTAAACATTTTCAGAAAATACTGTTTGTATTTTACTTTTAATTTTATCATTAATTTAGGATCAGCGCATAAAATTAATTGATGAAGAGATTTTCAATGAAAAACTGAAGCTTTTTTCATTAAATGTAGGTTGATGTTTGTTTTTTTTGATAAGATTGAGACTTAGTTCAAAAGATATAAACAAGTAACTATTATTGAAACAAGTTTTTCAATATTAAAAATTACCTTTACAAATATTTCAACAGATGTAGGGTCTTTGTAATTTATCACTTCTTGTTTATTTTTTCATTAAGTCCATTGATTTACATTTTACTTAAAATTAACATTTAAGTGTTTTTCTTATCTTTTATTTGTATTTTTTACATATTACTTCAGGGCTCAAATTAAGCGTATCGTGATTGGATTCAGCAATTGCTTTTTGTACAATTGCAATTAGTTTTTTCTTATAAAAATGTTTCTGTGTATTGTTTTTTTTTTTTCTTTTTTTTTTTTGTATGTGTGTGTATGTGTGTTAGTTATTTTTTTCTCTTCTAATTTAGCATTATTATTTGGTCATTCTTAAAAATAAATAGTAAAATAAAGTAGCAAAATAATTAAATTAAAAATTGTTTAATGAAAAATTAGAATAAAATAAAAAATTAGAACCAATTGCTCTTTTTTATTCACCCGGTCTTATATCAAATTTAAAAAAGAAAGCAAATTGGAAGAAATTTTTTTATTTATTTAGTAAACATTTTAATAAATTAAGTATTTTAAAAATTAAAATTTTTTGTTTCTGAAAAATAATCTAAAAAGTAGAAACATTCTATTGCAAATATTAAACAGGTAAAATAAAAACTAAGTTTCAAAAAATTTAAATTTATAAAAACTAATTATTCTAATATTTTGTTCAAAAATGTTTTTGTTTTTTTTTTTAAAAAAAAGAAATTAAAGCTTAAGCATATGCTTAAACTTATGAAAATAATTTGGTGTTTTTATGAAAAAATTATGTCAAAATTTGACATAATTTTTTCATAAAAACACCAAATTTTTTTCTCTCACTTTATTTCATTACATAACAATTTGAACAAAAAAATTAAATGAAAACATCAATGTAAAAACCATATAAATGAAAAAATAAATTATACTTAGTGCGATATAATGATCAATAAATCTAGAAAGAATGCGGTATCTAATAAGTTTAGTATTTTTAAAAATATTACTCATGTTTTTGTTTTTTTCGATTTGATCTTTTGAAATTATTTTGAAATTTTTACTTTATTTATTTTATTTGAATTTCATGCTATAATTTGCTATACAACGCTCTTATATCCAAAGATATTATTGGCTTAATAGGACTAATCCAAAGTAGCGTCTGTTATTTACCCACATTTTTGCATATTGAAGTATTACTCAAGCCTTGAGTTGATGCGACTGAACTTGAACTCCTATTGCACAACTGACTGAGTTTTAACAATTTGTTTGACACTTTAACCAACTGATCTATCCAGCCACAATATACTTGTATGATTTGCATATTTTTACAAAAATATTAAGTTTAAAGTTGATTATTTTGTAGTTTTTATAAGTTGTTCTAATTTATTAATAATGAAATCTCTATTTAAATTTGTAGTTTAAATGAATTCATCTACATTAATTACCATGTAAAGGAAAGATATATATCACTCAATGACAAGATAAAAAAAGAAAAAAAAAAAAGAAGTTGTATAAGTAAAAATATATTATGCAAAAAACTGCAAATTGTAGCAAAACCCAAAACAAATAAAAATAAAATTGTACTAGAATGTCCATCATAAGAGAAAAGAATTAGTTATCAAAAAATTATTATATATTTAAAAAAAATAAAAAATATTGTTGTATTTGTATCTTTTCAATTCTAGAAGGATAAATTTTTATTATTTCTAAGCAACATATTTTATGACAAAGAAATAAAACTTGTGTAGTATTCAAAATAATTTTATATTATTGTCTTATTGTGCACTTGGCCTCTAGAGCAGAATATTAAATCTATTATTAGCTTTGATGATATTTATGTGATAATATTTATAAATATAATGATAAATATTTATCTGATAAAGATAATGATAAATATTTATCTGTAGATCCATTCCAATTAGCTCTGAAATCCAAATAAGCACCAATAGCCAAGTTGTTATAAGTTAAGAAATCTTTACTAAGAAATATTTTTTGACAAAAATTATATAAAAAAAGCTTAAACATCATTCTGAGATGAAAAAAAACTAAAAGAATAGCTTTAGTCTTATTAAAGATAACATAACAATCCTCTGTTAAAACTGGGATGTTGGGATGAGTTAGCTCATATTAGATTTAAAATTTCTGGTCCACTAATTTATATTACCTATTATCAAGTGGGTGTGGCTGACTTTTATTTATAAATATATATATTTTTACTTTCATTTATTTGTATTTAGAAAAAAAAATACAAAATGATATTACAAGTAATATTAATTGTATTGTGTTACATAATAGTAATTATGATATTACATCAAAATGATGTAATATCACAATTACTATCATGTAACACTGAGAAAAACAGGTTAATATAGAATTATAATAAGAAAATAATTTAATGCCTAATTTTATAAGATTATATAAGAAAATAATCTTTGAGCAGTATTATTTTGATGGAAAATAATTTTTTCTTCTCTGTTTTAAGCTTTCAAATATTTTCATCCAGTTGTTTTTTGCTGTCCCCAAAAACTGTTACATAACTGTGCCTGCTTATATGGCAGTCTTTTGTTAGTTTCAAACATTCAAATCAATTTTCTAAACAAACATTCAAACTTGACTTTATTTAGTCAACAGCGTTTAATTACAAACCAGATTTTATAAGAAGCTCACTGCCTAAACTATTTTGTTGTAAAAATATTTGATTATTAACTAGCACTACCCACCAAAGTTGCTTCCCACTTTTCTTTGGGATGGACCTGCTGGTGGTACTTGTGGTCATGATGCGCATATAAATTGCCAACTGGTAAAGCATTGGGAACAGAGGCAAAATTTCTTCTCCAATTGTAAAATTCACAAAAACACTCATTAATGCTCCAGGATTAAGAAATTTTAGGGAGCAATATGATTGTCACATTGTGAGAAGAAATATAGCCTGAGTTAATGTTATTCAAAATGTGACAATACAAACATGGTTTCCATTTGTAGCTTTTGCTTGTCTTGGATTTTGAAAATAATAATTAATTTTTGTACCATTTTAGAATAGCTTGTTCGAAAAAAAATCCAATAATAAACTTTTTCAACAAAGCAATACTTCACTTTAACGAACATTTAACAGTGATTAGGGTTGTTTGCACATTTGCCATGAGTTGACACTTATAGTAGGTTTTAAGTACTAACAGAAATTTTGAAAAAAGTATTTATTTTTTGTATTTATATTTTATTTATGAACCATATTACCATACATCTCTATTTGAATGCGTAGAAACCGCAACACATAGTTACTTTTATGAACTCAGTGGGTTTAGTCAGCTTATGAAAATACTTTTTTTTAAAAATAGCAGCTGTTATAAGTGTTTCAATGAAAACAAGGGAGTTTAACATAATAACATAAAGTTTGATTCTAAAATTAAACTTAATCAGGTAAATAAAACATGAATTATTATTAATATTATGAAACTGCTCATCATTATAGTGTAAATGTAGTATTTTTAAATGTATTATAACAATGAACTAAAAAAATAATGTTCTATACATATCCAATAAACATTTTCTTTTTAACCATAAAATAAATATTTTTTACTTTGATTCTTTTACAATGGCAAGGCAAAAATATAAGACCAAAACTTATAGCTCAAAACAAAGACTTCAGGATACAGATAGTCAATTATGTGATGCTATAAATGTGGTTAAAAAGGTATGGTTGTCTTCAAACCGAGCAAGATGTTTGATATTCCTTGTCAGACACTAGGCCCATAAAATTGAAAACCGGTTAGTTGAATAATTACTTACATGCACAAGAATGGGATTTATTACAATAATATAAAAATGCAATTTACATGGTGAACAAGGAAAAAATGCATAAAGAAAGTGCTCAGTTGGCAGTTTTTGGGCTAATGAAAGACAACACGCCATTGTAAGCGAAAATCTTTTTGCCTACAATGGCAAGTTGACCAAGAAGGGCAGGAAATAAACAAGGATATAAATAATGTACCAAAGGCATTAAATTCATTTATAATTGATATGACAAGTAATATTAAAAGTGCTTTTAAAACTACCAGAGTTTTTCCATTTAATGCTAATAGTGTTGACTACACAAAAAATTTTCAAGGATTATCTGAATCAACTGTAATTAATGCTCAAACTACTTATTTAGAGTGGTACTTATTTACATTCAAGTATGATTTTATCAGCTTCCTCTCATAAAACTTTTATTGAATCCTAAATTGCAATGTAGAAAATGTGCAAATTATATCTAATATGGAAATGGCTGATTAAAATATTGTAGCTCTAATAAAAATAGAAACAGCTTGTTTTATTTTGAAAATAGCAATAACAATTGTAAATCTAATTGAAAATGTTTTAGTTTTAATTTTAAGAAGCATGGCAGGAAATTCAAAAAGCAAAAATACAACAAAAGTCAAAAATAGAGGAAGAAAATTTAAAGTAGAAACAATTGGCTGCAGAAAAAAGGTCAAAAATGAAAGGAAAAAAAATAAAAAAAATTGTCTACAGAGAAAAAGTTATTAAATGAAAAAACAAGAAAAGGAAGAAAAAAAAGCAAAAAAAATTTTGAGCAAAAAAAAAAATTCTTAAATAAAAAAAAAGTCATGAAATTGAGTCTAAAAAGTAATTGCATTCGAACGTTGACAATTTTAATTATAAAATAATACTCAGATAATTATGATAAAAATCTCTCTTTTTTAGTTTAAGAACAATTTTTAATTTTTATACAATTTTTTTTTTAACTTTAGGTTAAAAAAAAATTGTACAGAAAAACTGTTTACATAAATTGTTAGCCTTACATCTGGCGACAAAATTATACACTAAAAAATTGTTACATTTCTTTTTGATAAAATATGACATTTAAAAAAAAACAACAGTATTTTGCATATATTTACATAGATTTTGTTATTATTATTAGTGATTTAAATAATAAATTAACAATATTAATAACTATTCTTTATAACAATCTAAACAGTTTTATAATATATCATTGTAAAGTTAAATCCTTTCATTATTATATGTCAAAATAACACCCATAAGTTTTTTTATTGTATGAGTCGTGATGATAGTCTTTGGGTAACCTGTACCTTGACATTTCTGAAAATTTTGAATGAAAGACTCTCCTCCTTGCTCACTGGTGAGTCCAAGAGCCTCACCATTCTCTGCGCAATATGATGCTATATGGCTGAACAAGATATGAAGTTTTGTTGATTTAGTTGATAGTTTTAAAGCCAAAAATAATGTTCAAAATTTTTTTATATCAGTATCAAAACCATTTGCTAAATTCTTTCCAAATGTTGACTGAGATACCACATCAAGAGCATCCAAAGCATCACAAAACCCATGACGATTATCTGAAAGATGTTCTCTCAGTTCTTTGGATAGTTTGAGTAGCCTTTTACACTGGGGTCCTGTCATTTTAAAGTAAAAAATATTTCTAATTCAATAATTTATTAACAAATCAAATTTTATTTTAGAATAATATATTAACCTTCAAATTCCTCTTCATGATACTTTGCTTTTATGACCATGTTTTTTTAAAAAAGGTGTCCATTTGTTAGTTCCCCAGCTGTGAGCTAATTCATTCCAGATAATGTTAACACAGCCCTAATAATATTAATATATAAGTTTGAATAAAAATTTAAAAAATAGAAGATTATTTTAAAGGTATAGCTTTGTAATCATTATGCAATATAAATAGTTTTTATTATAGATATTATACAGAAAGTTTTAAAAACATTTACAGTGAAAATTTGTAATTCTGGAATGCTGCAAATGTCTAGAATCCTGGTTGAATCATCCCCAACTAGTAACAGAAAATTCTTGCAGTTGTTAAAGTCTTTTAGCTTCGAATCCTTTTTCCCAGCTGCTATCCAGGCTAAATTTTTTCTTTGATTGATCCAAGTGTTCTAACTTCTCCAAATACAAACAAAAAATCTTCCATTTCAGAACTTTTATTGCAAAAGCAACAGGAGTGTTTTGCACCTAATGTGTAAACCCAAAATTAACATGATGTACAATAATATAATAAATGTTTAAATGGAAAATTTTATTTACTGTGGCTTTATAGTCCCAGAATCAGCAGATATATGTTATCTTTGATAGACCATCTTTTTTTCCATATTTACTCAAAATTCAAGTAACATTCTTATATGCTTGGAACAATTCCAATTAATAAGGTTTTATTTACTGATGTCTCTTTTTCCAAATCAGGATTAATACCCTGTTATTTAAGTAAAATGTATACTAACTTTTTTTAGTTAAATGTCAATTATAATATGCTGTTATAAATAATAGTTTTGAAAAATCAGTTGCATTATGCCTACTTGTACCTGTTAGTAAAGGTTTCTTTTAAGATGCACATCTTTTTTATAGTTTGAAATGTTTATGACGCCAAGACCTATTTTATAACTACCACCTCCACCATCAGCCAACACTTTAACCTGAAACAGATTTTTAAATTAAAAACAAAAAAATGTAAAAACTACCAAAGCATCGTGAGGTTAAATCTTCTTTTTCTCTATGATTTTCCATAGAAGTTCTTAAATATTTTTTTACAAAACTAGCTATAATATAATAAAATTAGCTAGTGTTGGTAAATATTTTTTGAACTTTTCTTATTTAAATGTTATGTCTACTGCTAACTAAAAAGAGTTTAAGATTTAAAAAAGTTAAGGAACAAAATAAAATAAGACATTGTTTAATTAAATAAATTAATTTCACAAAATTATTTTATAACATAGTATAGTGAAAAATAATACCTAAAAGATTTTTCTTGGGAATCAAAAACTTCAAGAATTCTAATTGACTATTTCAAAGAATTCTTGTAAACATTTATTTGATTCTTGTAAGTATTTAGTTATTACCCGTATGCATTTAGCAATGTTGCTAATATCTCTTCCAGTGATTTTTCATATCATTATGTGTCCACACAGGATTAACACCATGGATACTACCTACATTCAATTTATTTAATAGTTATAGTTATAGAGTTTTTAAAATTAGCACACAGATACAAGATATACCTAATTTTAGTTTAAAGGCCATGCCTTTAGAAATTATTAATGTTGTTCCGCATGTTGCCAAGGTAATATTATTTTGTGAGGCAAATTTCTCTTGAAGAACTTTTGTTGCAAATTTTTCATCAACGTTTATTACAGCGGTTTTTGAAGTTAGTATAAGTAAATTTGATACTTGCGTCTGGTCGTACATTTGTGTCTTCTTAAACTAGAAATTTCAAAAAAACATTGGTTGCAAATCTTCAAAGCAGATTTTTGAGATGCAGGTGGTTTGATTCTGAATTAATAAATGGTTTTTATTTTATTGTAAAATCTAATTATTTTTAATTAGAAAAAAATATACATATAAACTTGAATAAAACTTGCCCTGGTCTTCCTATATGTAGTTTTATGTTGGCTCCTTTTCTTTTAGCAACTGAACATATAAGACACAAGCAAAACCCTTGTCTCCTAGTAACAGTCTTCAAGACCACACCTGTTAGAGCAATTTTATGAATTTGAAACCATCTAGTTAGTAAGATAGTATAAAGGCGAGCATGCTGATAAAGAACTGTTTTACATGTTGAGAAAATTTCAGATGCAAATATTGGATCATTGAAGATAAAAATTCAGAAGATAAAAAAATCTTTATAAAATGAATTAATAGAGGATTAATTAAGGTTATCAATTTTTTGTAGCATATTGCGCATACTTTTTGTCTTGCTTTAGAATGATATGGAAAATAGTTTTGCATTTTATTTATGCAGATGTTTAAGTTCTTTGGATTTTATATTATTTATGAAATATCTTGTTATATCAGCTATCATACAAGAAAATTTTGAATAAATAAATTACACAGAATACAGTGTTTTCAATAAATGATTTGAAATGAACATATAAACATCTAAAGTGTTTCAATATACCTAAATTTAGCATTTAAAAATTACTCTAAAAAATCTTTTTTTGTTTTTTGTAAAATGCCATATTTCATCAGGACAGAATGTTTTTAGAATATATTTTTGGAATCGCCAGACATAAATCTAACAATATATGTAAATATTTTTTCATAATAAAATAATGTTTAGTTATAAAAACATTATTTTATTATTTTATTATTGTACACTTGTTTTATTTTGTTTTATTTATTAAACTTTCTTTTTAATCTATATACCTAAAATTATTTAATAATTTTAGGTATATAGATTAAAAACCACTTACAATAAGAATGGGAAATTGCACATTAAAAATTTGATCAAAATAAGTATGTGATTTAAATTTTAGAGTTAAAAACAATTTTAAACAACCCTTAAAGTATTTAATCGATGGCTGCAAAAATTCATTTCCAATTCATTTCTACTTTTTTAGTAATACAACATATTGCAATTAATTTTGTAAAACTCACAATTTAAGATCGTGAAGATCATGTTGAAAGTACAAATATACATTATAACTTTAGAAAAGTTAGCAGTGAAACTTTTGAAAAAATGTATTAAGTATTATGGCTTTAAATGATGGGTATCTTTCTTCAAAGGAAGAGTTTTTCGTGGATTACAAAGAAAAATTTTTTTTTTAGCTATTACAGATAAGAAAATAAGGAATTTTATATATTCCTAGGCTTGAAGTATTTGGAGTGATATGAAATTTTTTTTTTGATGTCTATATGATTTTTGTTTGGTTTTTATTTAAACTAATTCTTTTAATTTTTTATTATGTTTTAATTTTTTGTTTTCATTCTTTTTTAACTATTTAATATAAATAGTTTTGTTGATTTTTTATTATGTTATTTTCTTACACATCTACATAAGAGATGCATTAAATATATACTTGTTGGTTAAAAACAAATTTAAAGAACTTTTTGTTTCATGATAATTTCTACATCTCTTTCTGCTTAAAATAGTTTGGTTTATTTATTTATGTCCTAGTCTTGACACTAGTCATGGTCCTACATATTGATTCGATATTAGGGTAGGTCAGGTCATTAGTCTTTATCTCCTTAAGCCTTTGCTAGTGAAAACAATTAATCTAGGAAAAGAAAAACTCTAAAATAAAACTCGCTATAGTTTTGTGTCAACCAACTAACTTGTAAAAAGTCAAATACCTTTAATCCTTTATTAACTTCAAACTCTTCTAACATTTTTACAGCTTGAATTTTTATTATTTTAAATAAGAATTTATAATATTAACTTGTGTTTAAAATGTAAAAAAAATGTTTGAAATATTTTTTAGCAAGAAAAGAAAATAAATTCAGATGAAATTTTTATAAGGACTGTCATTTCTTTACAAAGAAATTATAAAAAACAAAGGTTTGTTGTTTTAGTAATTTGATGTTTAAATTTATTGTTTTGATTACAATTTATTTGTTTACATTTTTATTGATCAGAATTTATCAAAGTGATGTTGTTCTGCTAGGCACACTTCTAGGCAGTTTCCAATTTAAAAAAAAAAAATTTAATAATTTTTCAGTAATATCAAGTAATAATAGTAGCAGAAGCGCTAGAGTTTTCATAATTTTTAATTTTTACGTTTTAACGTACTAGAGTTTACATAATTTTTTATTTTTAAGTTTTCACGTCCTATTAATCTGAGTACTGCTAAATTAAGTTCTTTTATTAGTATTAGTAGTAGCCTCCTCGTCTGTAGTGGCCGTCTCGGCCTTGAGGAGGTGAATTAAAATTAAAATTAAATTAATTAAAAGTTTTTATTTTCAAGAAATTAAGTTCTTTTACTTGTTTTTATTTTTATTTAAACAAAAAAAAAAAAAAAATTATAAAACTAAATCATTGTTTTATTCTTTTGAATGTTTATTATTTTTGTATTTTTATTATAACTTTTAAGTTTAAGTTTACTAAAAATATATCAAATATATAAACATGTAATTACTTATTTATACAATAGTTCCATATCATATAAAAAAAAGTTATATAAAACATTATCTCTTGAATAAAGATTTTCCATTCTTATATTGTATTTGAGAAATATAAAGTACCACAGGTACTAACACATTTAACCCAAATAAACTTCAGAATGTTCAGAGATTTTGTTCAAATTTTTATATAAAAAGTAACCTTTTATATAGAAATTTGCTTCTAAACTACTTGCAGGTTTGTTTTATTATTAAAATATATTCTTTATTTAAAGAAAAATGTTCCTTTGCAAAAATCCGCTAATATTGCGTTTGTGGGTTTGTATCTTTTTTTAATACTTATTTTTTGAAAAAAAAATTTTTAATAAACTTGAAAAATATAACTTACAGCATAATTTTGTTTAATATTAATATAAAAATATATTACATATGTGGGAGGACGAGGGTGGCAATGCAAATGAAATATTTGTATGGTATTTGAATGTTTTTTTACTTTTATATAAAAAAATTTTATCCTTTAAAAAAATATATTCCGCTTCTTTAATCCAGGAGGTTTAATAAGCGCGAACTGGCATAAGTACAAACCAGCATAAGTGCTAGGCGTTGAAAAAACGAGCACAAGTACGAAGTATAATATGTTGCTTTTTTATTCTGCGCACTTATGGAAGTTCGCACTTATCACATTTCCCATTTATGCTAATGTTTCCAAATTCTTTTGGCTCACTTATGCCAGTTTGCTCTTGTCCCAGTTTTTGTAACTGCTTTGCACTTATGCCAGTTCGCATTTATGCCAATTTGCATATATGCCACTTCGTACTTATGCCATTCGCACTTATGCCAGTTTGCACTTATGAAATTCGGGCTAATTCAGTCGTACCTTTTAATCAGGAAATACTCCATTTCTTTAATAAGGATAAAAAGCTTGATTTAATTTCAAATGTCTTGACAAAACATAAATTATATAATAAATGTCTTGAAATTGCAAAATATTGTGACTCTCTGTAAAGACTAAAAAGAAGAAAATAAAATATAGCAATAACATTTGCTAAAATATTTAATATTTTATAACCTTTTCTTTCACTTATATAATATTTTTCCTTAACTTTTATTGTCGTCCATGACGCTCTAAAAAGTAAACATTTAATAGAGAAATTTGCTACTAAATTGCTTGTCAGTTTGTTTATAATAGTAATAATCATTAAGTAACAAATCTTTTCATTCTTAAAATAGGCTTGACGCGTATTGATAGTAACAGTAACAAGATTAAAGAAATGACCAAATGTAATTTGAATTACGGGAAGACCTTTTTTTTACAACCAAGATGAATTGAACAATCTTCTAATAATATCAAATATTTTAATTAATATAGAAAAGATTGAAAAAATTTTATTTAATAAAATATTTTCGATCGTTTATAATAAAAGTTCATCGATTTATGACACAAGAAATGAATTTTTTTTAAAAAGTCAGAAAGTTATAACCCTAATCTATATATATATATATATATATATATATATATATATATATATATATATATATATATATATATATATATATATATATATATATATATATATATATATATATATATATATATATATACATATACATACAATATAACTGGATTGAAAGTTTTCTTGCAAATAGGAAACAAAGAGTTGCTATTAGTAATACAGTTTCAGAATGGGTATCAGTTACCAGTGGCGTGCCTCAGGGTTCCATTTTGGGTCCAATATTGTTTCTGCTATTCATAAATGACCTCCCAGAAGTTGTGCTAAACACATTTAAAATGTATGCTGATGATAGCAAAATAATAGCCGTAGAAGATTCCATTTGTAAACAAGCGGAAATACAAACCAACCTTGACAACATTGTGAAATGGTGCAATAATTGGGGTATGGAACTAAACTGCAAAAAATGTAAGGTGATGAGATTCGGCAATCAGAAAGTTTTTGGAGGTATTGATAAAACATATACAATTAATATAAATGGAATGATTTATGACCTCTCAAACAGTGTATTAGAAAGAGATCTAGGTGTTTTTGTACAACTGGATATGAGATGGAAGCATCAAACGCAAGTATGTGTTAACAAAGTTTCAAAAATACTGAGGTTATTGAAAAATGCCTTTGAAAGTAGAGATTGTTATATGTGGAAAATTTTGTATACTAATGTGAGACCTCATCTTGAATTTGCGGCTCCAGCGTAGAGTCCTCCGAATGTGGCCAAAATCTCAATGCTTGAAAGAGTTCAACGTAGGGCCACAAAAATACCATACTCAAACCCAATGCTAAGTTATGAGAAATGGCTAGTTAAAATGGATTTAATTAATTTAAATCTCAGAAGAAAACGAGGAGACCTTATTCATTTATATAAGATATTAAACAATCTAGAATTTGTCAATCTTAATGTCAAACCAGTCTATAAATCAAGCATTAAATTAGATGGCCCATGTTCTTCTATTAGATGTCTCAAACATAAAATTAGAATGCAGTGTTTTACTCCTCGCGAAATAAATGACTTTCATGCATCGGTTAGCTCCAGAATCCATTTCTTCACAAACAGAGTTTGCCAAATTCGGAACAAACTTCCGGAAAAAGTTGTAGATTTCGAGAATTTGAATAGTTTTAAAGCAAGTTTAGACGAATGGCTTAGGAAAAATAAGAAAATATTAATTTAAAAGAAAAAGAAAAAAAAAAGTACTGGGCTGCTATAGCTGAACGTTACAATGTCTCAGCTTGTGGATAAGATCCACGCAGTTTACAACTAACTAACTATATATATATATATATATATATATATATATATAAATATATATATATATATATATATATATATATATATATATATATATATATATATATATATATATATATTACTAAGTTACAAAGCTATGTTAACTTTGTTTAATATTAATATAAAAATATATTACATCTGTGGGAGGACGCGGGTTGCGATGCAAATTAAATATTTTTACTTTATGTTATTTTACTTTTATATAAAAAAATTTTATCTTTTAAAAGAAAAATATTCCAAACCTTTAATCACTATAAATACTACGTTTCTTTAGGATAAAAAGCTCGACTTAATTAAACATGTCTAGATAATCATGTCATGTCTTGAAAAATGCATTGCTAAATATTGTAACTCTCTGTAAAGAATAAAAAGTAGAAAAAAAATATAGCAAAAACATTTGCTAAAAGTATAATCTTTTTGTGCCAAAAAGTAGAAAATAAACTTTTTAATTTAAATTTAATAATTTCGTTAACTAAAGATTGACAGGTATGTTTCTAAATAAACATTGCGCAGACCTGTCAATCTTTAGTTTACGGAACTATTAAATTTAAATCAAAAAGTTTATTTTCTACTTTTTGGTACAAAAAGATTATATTTTTAGCAAATGTTTTTGCTATATTTTATTTAATTTTTCCTTTTTTGCAACAACCGTACCTTTTAACAAGCTTTTACATAAAATGCCATTACAGATTATTATGCAATATATATATATATATATATATATATATATATATATATATATATATATATATATATATATATATATATATATATATATATATATATATATATATGTGTATATATAAATATATATATATTACTTCTTCAAATTAGACTTCAAAGGTTATTAAAGGAGCTTGAAAGTTCTGCTAAATTTTGCAATATTCAAAGTACAGCTGTAGAAATTGGAACAAATGAGATATATATGAAGTCAGAAGATATCAACACTCACTGGAGAGAAGAAAGTAAGTGTTTTGTGAAACTCTATGTTAAAATTGTATTTTTTAACACCTGACCCGATTAAATCTGGACAAATTTCAAGTCATTCTTGTTTAATTTGTTAATAACTTTATCACATGATGTGATATGTCATTTTGTAGAGAATTTAATTCTCTATAATATGAAATTATTTTGAAGTTTGAATTTTTTTAAAAAAATGGTTAAAGTTGACAAATCAAAAGAAGAAAATATAAGAAAAACGATGTACCAGTTCGTTAAAAACCATTCGTCTTGGACTAAACCATAGATTGTTAAACACTTTCAAGAGGAAGGAATTCCTAAATCAACCTGCTATAATATTTTAAAAAGAATGGAGAATAAAATACAACCGGAACAGAAAGTTAGAAGTAAACCACTGGTGTTAAAAATGACCAAAGCAAAAGTTACACTTTTAAAAAATTCAATTGATCATCACCATGGAATTAGCCAACGTGCTCTTACCAAAAAAGTTGCTGTGTCTAAATCAATAATATTTAGAACAATAAAACAGAAGATAAGCATCAAATATTACAAAAAGAAAAAAGCACCTAAAAGAACTATTAGACAAAAAGAGGTTGCGTGTACAAAATGCTATCAACTTACCAAGCTTTTTCGCAAAAAACAAGTCATAATTGATGATGAGTCTAACTTTGGTTTGAGCATGATGAGTCTTATTTTGGTTTCGAGTTGTCTGGAAATTCAGGATATTATTCGAACGATCGTGACACTACATCAAATGAAGTCAAACTTAAAAGAGTTCAAAAGTTTGAACCTAAATTGTTGGTCTGGGTAGCATTGTCTCCTAAAGGTAGGTCAAAACACTTCATTGTACCATCAGGTCAAGCTATTAACGAAGATGTTTATTTAGATAAGTGCTTAAGATCTAGATTAATTCCATTCATTGAACAGTACCATAAAAATGATAATGTAATCTTCTGGCCTGATTTAGCATCGTTACATTATTCAAAAAAAGTTCAAGCATTCTTAAATTCAAAAAACATCGAATTTGTACCAAAAGAGAGAAATATTGCTAACACTCCAGAACTTAGACTGATCGAAGATTTTTGGAGTGAAATCAAACAAACAGTTTATGCTAAATGCTGGTAAGCTGAAAATTTGGAACAACTTTGTAATAGAATTGACTACTGCTTTAAAAACTTAGATCCTGATATAGTACAACGATTTGGAAGATTGTCTTTTACTCGAGTTGATGCAGCTCGGCAAAATGGAATCCAAAACTTATAATTTTTTTTTTATTTGAATGATAATATTTTTTATCTATAATTATATTTTTTCTGAAATAAAAAATCTTTATCTGTTAAAAAGTTATTAAATTTTTCTTTTTGTCCAGATTTAATCGGATCAGGTGTTATTATGTAAAATGATTTATTTATTATCTTGTAAACACTTTTTATAACAGTTTTAATGAACCATATTAATGGACATAGATATGTAAATATTTTATATCAAGATGTACACCATGTGCCAAAACCACACAATGTGCCTAATAATACCATGATCAATATGTTGTTGTTTTTTTTTTGTACAGCAGTCTCATCGATCAAGGTTTGTCCTTCAGAGTGTTTGTTCTTCAGAGATTTGAGAAAGAATTGTAATAACAGTTAGGCAAAATAAGAAATTATTGGCTTTTTTGACTGTAGCCTTTTTACCTTGAAGTGGTCTCCTTGGCTTCAGTTATTAAGCAACTAGGGTTGATGTTTGACCAGAGCTGGGGCCAGGTTTATTAAAATGTAGCTGGGGTCGGGTTTGTGACCAGGACTGCATAAACGCTTATACATCCTAAAGTATTTTTTTTATTTAAGATTCATGTTATATTCAACATGATTAACATAATCATCATTACCAGAAATCATTATCATCATCATCATTATCATCATCATTATCATCATCATCATTATCATAAGGCTTTAGCCTTCCTCTTTTGTTTCTCTAATCATGGTCAATACTCAAACAAGCTATCTTCTCTATTATTATAAACGAAAACTTATTCTTGTTTGACTTTTTATTTAACAAATTGCACCCTTTTACTGTATCTGTTCCATTAAAAGAGGTGTTGGTGTAAGTTGTACATTGAAGTACAACTTACACCAACACCTCTTTTAAAAATGTTTTATGAACCACCTTATTTTAAGTTTCATAATGAATTTTACATAAAAAATTTAAATAATATTGAAAATAAGATGAGTAAAATTTAGAAGACTGTTTTTTAGTGTAATTAAATACTATATAAAGCACTTTTGATGTAGTTAGAAAATGTTAAATGATACTTTCTCTGATCTGAGATTTGTTTTTGCCCAACATATTCCAACTGATTATCAGAATCAAGCTTTAAAATACAATGTTGAGTTCTTTTGCAAAATCTAAAGCTTTCTCCCTAATCGTCTGTCAACCAGTTGGCACATTTTGTTCACGTGCGTTTACAAACCACTCACATAGAGCTTTATCAACAGAATCATGCTTTCCCAAACTTAACTTTTGTTTCTTTGCTCCTTATCAAATTGGCTAGACTCATACTTGCTGATTATATCTTCTTTATGTTTTGTCCAGTCAGTTAAAGTATTTTAAGGAACACTAAACTTTTTGGCAACATTTTGTTTAGTTAGCCCTTTTTCTAAATCTCCAAGAGCATTTTTCTAAATCTCTAACTGTCTTCTTTTGTGTAAATTTCTTGTTGAAATTTCTACTGCACTGTTGTTACAATGTGTTCCATTTTTTTATTATATTTTAATGCCATTACTTTTTTTGTTGCAATGTGTTCCATTTTTTTATTATATTTTAATACCATTACTTTTTTTGTTATATTTTGATAATATTCCATATAAATGATAACGTTCCATAATGTTATGTTTTGAAATGCTATGGAATGGTATCAATAAAAAAAAACTTAGATTAACTGACAGAGATTTTGTCAAGAGGAGTGAAAAATCATTTTGAATAATTAAAGTTTTGAATAACTGCAACTTCGAATAACTGATGGATATTTACATAAGTTTCTTAAGGAAAATTCATGGGGAAGGAAGATTGTTTCAAATATGCGGAAAACTTGAATAAGCGCCAGTTCAATTAAGCAGGAGTATATATAAATGAAATAATAATTACAAAAGTAATGATAATAATAATAACAAAAAAAAGTAACAATAATAATGGTAATGGTGTAATACAAGATAATCATATAGAATTATATATAACATTTAGAATCATGCGTATTAGCCATTAAATGGTATACAAGATTAACTGTTTAGAATTATCAAGTAATTTGTGTTTATTTTTTTTAGAATTAAAAGTTGAAGGTATTCATGATGACCAAAATATAAATAATAAAGAAAAATATGTTTTTGCTGGTCATTGTATAAATAAAGAGCTTGTTAATAAAGAAGAAACTCAAATCTATAAAACTGAAAGACATATTACTTCTAATACTAATAGCATTATTACTGTGAGGTAAACCTTAATTAATACTAATAGCATAATAATGTGAAGTAAACCTTAGTTAAACATAAATAATTATTTTTTTTATTTTAAAAATAAAAGTTTTTTTAAAACAAATAATTTCAAATTGCTTTATTAAAAACAATTTTTGATATATCCTTCAAGTTCTGCTATTTTGACCCAGATAAATAACTTTGTTTGAAAAAAAAAAAAATTTTTTTATATGGACTTAATTGATGAGCTCTTATACCCATAAAATGGTCAAATATTTTAGGCATC